TCCGACGTACACCGAGAACGGTGAAATTTTTCGTTAGGTGTGCATTTCTGAGAAATTATTGCATATTCGAATAATAATTGAAACACTATATTCCACTGTATTAAAACAACATTATTTATTTCTTTGCCTTCCGCAGTAAATTATTATTGTTCATATTTAAAATTTAACAGCAGAAAATACTTTTGAGCGCCTTTAGGCGTCCAGAGTATTACAAGAACAAGATTTCTAAGCACCTTTAGGCGTCCACAGTAGTCAAAGGGATAATAAAGGCTTGCAAATCCTCCATAGACAGACAGACAATTAACTCGAATCCTTCTGAACTTTCACCTCCATCGAAAGACCTGTACCTCATATTCCTATTTTCCACATTCACCCTCAAAAATCAAAAACTCGTGTCGAGGGGACAACGGTTTACTCCTTTACGACCAGCGTCTCACGACTCACGCACACCTGGACCTACGAAAATATTACGAAAATTTCCCAAAGACAGAAAAATAAATTAACAATTTGTTTAAACTTCCACTTGCACCAAGAACCACCGAACTCCATACACACCCCTCCAACCAACATGCCCCCAATAGGAAGAAATGGATCCATCACTTACACACCTCGACAACCAATGACAGCAACCCCCGAACTTATAAAATACACGAAGACAGGAAAACAGGGACAGTAAAAAGAAAACCAAACATATCCACTGGTGTATCATATCGAAATAAACTCTCGTTGTTTGAGACTTCCAATCTCCTGCCCCATGTTACTAGACGCTTCTAGCGACATCTGGCATCTTATGGCTATTCAAATAAAACCGGTGGAAGACACTTTCTTCCAAGCTATCGCCAAGAAAGTCCATATAGTTATTCTGATTGCGAAGCCTTATCCCAGTAAAATATAACCCATCCACAGTATTAAACAGCACTTGTGAAAATCTCAAATAACTAATTTACGTTTATAAGAGGACGGAAAAACCTCGTCTAACCTCTTCCCATTTAAGAATGGTTCGGCCGAAACAAGGTAAACCTAACCTAACCTAACGAAACGCACGTGACGCATTCTTTATTCCATTTTTCTCCCGTCTTCCGCCCCCGGTCGAAGGCGTTTCTTTACGAGACAACGACGACATTCCGTGCAATCTACCGTAACGACCTTCGATGTCGAATCTCCCGCTAGTCGATGAAGATAATGCTCGTGTCTACCGGCCGTGACCCGAGTCGATAGCATCTCGCGATAGCTAGAGAAAAGGAGTCGTTAACGAGCCGCAACGAGCTCGAGTCAAAGGGTAGGTGTAGTTTCGCGTGCGTGCTCTCGAGACGCCCAAGGTGTCGATGTTAATTACACCGAAGAACTTTTATCCGGTCGTTACGTCTCGCGTCGAATTCCTCTCTCGAGGACTCTTGCAGCATCCGAGAGCGGCTCCGCTGTCAGTCGCGGAAAACAGTTCCGTTTCCCGTCTCGAGAAGAACAAAGATGTTCCGATTGGTTCCTTGTGGCCGATACGACAGCGATTTATTACCCCCCGACTGAGGAAAAAGACTCAGAAATTCGCCGTGGTGTATTCCGTCGAAACACGCATTCATCGAACTCGTGTTTACTCCATAGGGAAACGATTCCTCTCGTTTCGAAAAATTTGCCCATCATCGTGGTTGTTCCACCTTTAAATACCCAGCACGATGACTCGATTATTTACACGGTCGGGACGATACGAGTTGTACGTCAAAAATTATGCACGCGTATTAATTGCAAACTGATTGACTTTAACGCGCGACAAAATTGCACGTGAAAATTGGCCCGTATTATTATTTTCGAGAGCTGCGGGGCGTGTATTGTCGTAGACCGTGTGCATTAGAGCAAAGTGAATCCGACCCCTGCCCGCGACGCGCGTTACGCCATTACGAGAATTACCAGCGGCTGCGCCGGCACCCCCTGTTTTTCTCCGTGTTACCGTAAAATTGCCCCGTTTATTGGGATTCATTGTTGTCCCCGTTCGGTGGTGCGCTCTCCTGCATTTGCACGAGCTGCGACACAGCAATCGGACGAAGAACGGGATGAAACGTGTCGACTGGCAGTGTCGAATTAATTTCCGTCGCGCCATTGTCGCCGCTGCAAACTGCCCGATGAACGTTTTCGAGGGGTCCTACGCGGTTGCCATTGCTCGTCATAGCCGATGCTTCCGTTTCGTCGAACAACGGATCCCCGATAAGCGAAATTATCCCAAAGGCTTGCCGCGATCACGAGTTACCCTTTGCCTCTTCTCAGCCCCTGGGTAATTACGACGTAACACGAATATCCCGCGTGATTTACACGCGAGAAGAGGAATGCACGCAGGTGTCAGCCTGAAACACTCGCGACCAGACTCTTTGTTACCTTTCTAGCATCCGTTTCATTAAACGACGCCATTCTGTAAGGGATGTTTATGTCGTTCGTTGAATCAGGTATTGTTCACTTACCCGGCACGATCCTAGGGTGTAACGTTCGTTTAACGGGTAGAGGGCGAAATTGCAGCGAATCATGATTTCGTCTGGTGCCATAGAATTTCAACCCCGGTAGGGGTAATCGGATTCTCGTTCGGAATGCTTTCGCGCGATTCATTAGAGCGCCATTTATATTCCCCGATGGCGAAAAGTGGATCAATCGGGCAAAGTACCTTGAATGGTGCGCGACACAACGCGATCCTCTGTTCCGTACACCGCTTTAGAATTTGTTACGATGATGGACCGAAAGGTGGAAAGAAAAGGACGATTAAAAGGCGGACTGCTCGTTTGGATAAAAGCCGACCAACTTCTGATCGCTTAACGATTTTCGTTCTCCGTCGAGCGACGCGTCCCGAACTTTCCGCGAGAAGTGTCGCAAATGCGATAAAACAAAGTTTACGGTTCATTCGATTCCGTGAAATCAATGTTCACGGCATCACGCGATAATTAAAACGTATTCCAACACCGTGCTCGTTTAACCACGTCTCGATGTATATCCCGTACCCCGCCCGTTCCATCCAATTACGACCCAATGCATCTTCTCGAATATCGCGGACGCGTGTATTTCCTTATCGTTGCCGACGATAATGCCTTACCTAAATATTATGAAACCACGTTACCAGCGCGTGACAGTATTTCACTCTAAATTCGATTTATTTTCCTCCCGGGACGTTTTCATTTGACGAAATCGGAATGCATCACGCGTCTTATCGACTTACACGTACGCTCCGGGAGGTCAATTAAAGTCGTCAACAAAAGTCGCGGATTATAGAGAAATGAGAGGAATTCGTTATCCTTGCCATGCTCGAAGATAAGTAGCTTCCAACCGATCTGAGGAATTTTCAGTGTCGATCGAGTATATAAAAGGAATCCTCGATTATTAATCGAAGAGTTTTCCAGCTCCTCGACTTTGCATAATCGCGTGCAGGAGCTGAAATCCGAAAGATTTCTTCGCAATGTGTATCCTAGACGGAAGAAAACTTATTTATCTAAGTGCAGTGCTCCTCGTTCTACTGCAGGTAAGTGCATGGAATTCGCGTCTGCTCGAGCTGCGAGACAAGACTGACGCGTGTGACTTTGACGGACGAGAACGGAGCATTAAGGCATTAAATCGAAATGAACGAGGCGTAATGCTCGAAGTAGAAACGCGTTGAACGTGTACCGGCGAACTTTGCGATTTCAAACGATCGGTTTGTTTTTAATCTACGCCTATGGGGTACCGCGACGCGTTGATTCTCACAGGTGACGATGGACGTTGCTCGTCTTTCATTGCTAGTCGAGGGATTCTGTAGTACGATGAGCAAGAAAAGGAAGGAATTCTAGAAATTATTCGATATCGATTTAATTCTTTTTCTTTTCAGTTTAATCGACCAACGTCTTCGACCCTATCCTTATGGGCAGCGAAAGAGCAAACTCATCTACAGTCGATACACTCTAGGATGTCAAACGCGGTGCATGGCCTGCAGAAGATGCTGGGATTGGGTCTCGAAACTGTCTTCGCGCCATCGCATCGAATTTTCCAGCGCGATATTCCTTTGGAAAGCAGTGGCGTGGCAAATGACGTTAACGCCACGTTGTATAAATATCAATAGAGGTCTCCATTCTGCTTTCTATTTGTGTAAACTCGTTTGAACCTTCGGGACGAACGTCATTGGGGACTGTCTTTCGAATCGAAGTTGTTAATAATTATATATAATAATTGAATACTCGTGACATTATAATATTATTAGCAATAATTCTGTCCGGTGTATATAATGCAATAATTTTAGTTACAAGGCACATATGCTACAACTTTCTAGAGACCTAGTTAGCTTTTCTAATAAAGGACTCGTGCAAACGTACGAAGCGAGTAATTCCTGTCGCATAATCGGCGAATTACATTGGTGGATCGACCGGGGAACTCGTTCCCGAACGATTACGTTAATTCCGCGAAAGCGTCGAATAAAATTCCACTGACTCGATGTTACGAGGAGTTTGTCGATTCAGCATGATCGAGGAGAGTTTCAGATGCGGAACAGACGTGCAAACGTTTGCTATTTAACGTGTGGCAAAAGTTCCTAGTGACCCAACTCGACGAAGTCCGTTTGGCTAGCGAAAGCTGCACTGTAATAATTGAGTTTCAAGCTTAATCGTATGGTTTAGATTCGGTTTGTGTGCCATGATTTAACCCAAACTAGAGGTTGCGCCGGATCGCTCGAAACGCAGGCTGGTTAACCGGATAAACGCGATAAATATAACTTCGTTAGAGCGCTGTGTTGTTGTTTGTTGAAATTCATCGACGTTGCTATTACGGGATAATCCCGATCCGGGGTGTACTTCGTAAAAGCTTGGAGATACCCGGGATCCACCTGAAACGCGTCGGACGCATTCTACCGACTAGGAGGAATAGCAATTGCGGTCTGAAGTTGCATCAACGTGTTCCATTTTCTATCACAGCGCGAACGTGTGGACGGGGGAAAAACATGCTGACAAACAGGCTGGCGAGTCGGAAGGAAAACAAATATAACCAGCGTCGTTATCTATGCACGCTTTTATTAAATAGAAAAATCAAGGTACTCGAACAGGTAGAAAAATCGTGGCTATTGTGCTCGACGCTCGTATAGAAGCGAATAACGGAGCGGCCATCAATGCCAACCGCTTGCAACGTTGATCCCCGGTTGTCCTTGCACAACTTCTCTCCCTTCCTCGTGCAGTGTGGACGCGATCGCCAACGCAATGTCAACGAATGCGCCTGTCTGGCCGTTAGCTCGCGCAAAACTCAGCGTAGAAAGGCTCGGCCGCGGCGACCAGTGTCTCTAATGGCTGCGCGTAACATCGGCCGGTCTCGCGATCGATCGATTTTTCTGTCACCTTGCAGCGACAACGAACGAGCGAGCAAACAAACAGACGACGGGGATAAGCAGTTTGTCCTACAACGGGTACAGCGGCGCCTTGAGCAGCGGTGCCTTGAGCAGCGCTGGCTTGAGCAGCAACGCCGAGGCACTTCCGGTTGAAACGGTGCCCGAGGGACCGGAAACTATGGCGGACGGCGCTGGCGCTGCGGCTACGACCACGTTGCTTAAGGGAGCCTCGGCGATTGCGATCGTAGCTGCGGGTGAAATGAAATTAACCCTCGCCGACGCGGAGGCTGCCGCGCTCACGGATTCACTCGTCAGCGTGCTCGAACTGGATGCCGAACTCTCGACCCTAGTTGACTCCGCAGTGTCTGCAAACAGACGGGTTACACGGCAATCCGGCGTATGTAAATCGTATCGATATCGCGAGATCCGAATAACACGGTCGTTGCTGATCTTCGTAATTTTGGATAAGGGTAGTTTGCCGAGTCGCTTACTCGATCGCTTTTGCACGAGTTTCGACACGCCAACTCTGCAAACCGTGAAATTTGCTTCTCCGTGTAGGATAAGGTAGGCAAAGCCTGTTGCGTGAGATTTTACGATTAGGCAATGTTCGTTAAATTGAACTGCTCTAAAAGGTTCATTTTTACAATTCGGCTACCGTACCTGTTACCGGACCAGATCCGTTACTGGGTCGCTCGGCGATTAACGTGGTGGAAACCGACACGTTGGCAACCGCGCTGGAAGCTGCGCTGACAGAAGCAGCCGCCGCTTTGGCAGCAACGGTTACCGGCTCGGTCGTGGTAGCATCGACGTTGGCCGGTAGCGGAGGAGCGGTTGGACCAGCGATGATTATGGGTCCGGTGGAGGGACCTATTACGGCGTTCGCTGACGCTATTCCTATTGTTTCCTTAATTGCCGTCGCGTTCGCCGATGCCTCCGTGGTCGATGATTCTTCTGCTCTTTCGATTGCAACAGCCGCCTTCGCTGACGCTGCAACGGCGCCTTTCTTTGTTTCTGCTTCGGCTGACGCTGCGTTATTGGTGTCGGCGATGGCGACGGAATTGTCCGACGGCGCTACCAGCGTTACCGCGCCAGCCGTCGCTCCTTTAATGAGCACTGAATCTTCCCGCGCACCTGGGGCGTCGGTTGTCTCTGGAAAAAAGGAAGACGAAGAAACCCAAAGTAAGAACGTTCCTCCGACAACTGTTTACGTTCACAGATTTTGTCACGGCTGCTTTTTCCGAGCAGGCCTTCCCTCCAGCCTATACAAATTTATCGACCCATTAAATCCGTGATTCGTAGAAGAAACGTTGCTACGATAAATTCTTCGCTTTATGTATCTCGTAAAAGGTGCACGGTAGTAATAAGACCCGACGCAGTTTTGCTTATGTAAGCAGAACCATTTTAAACCTAGCCCCTCTCCCGGGTCGTAAACATCCAGATTGGATTCCAAATCCTTCGAAACAACCCCAGATATTTCCAGTCCGTCCTCGAAACTTTCTAAACCGGCAAGAAGGATTACGCGTCAGCCTCTGGCCCGTGATGAATTACTTTGCGTGGCAGATGGCGCTGTCCGAGCGACGCCGGGAGACACGATGGTCACCGGCCCGGAGGATGATCCCTCGACGATCGTGGTCCCTGTCACGGGCCCAGCCACGACCGTCTGCGCCTCCTTCACCGGCTCCGTGGGTAACAAGCTAATCGCAGGTGCGAGTCCATAAACTGGTGCAACGAGCAGCGGTGCCGTGGATTGTCCGACGCCCACTATTTCGTGATAAGGCCAGCCGCTGGCGTGGACGGACGTCAGGAGAATCGATGCCACAAACCGTAACTGAAAACGGATAAGGAGTGATTTATTCCACGGACGAGTATCGGAAACGGTGGCGTGGGCTGTATCGACGACACGATAGTTGAAATGCTTCCCAGCCGATCTCGCCCATAAATATCTCTCTTATTAACTCGATCTCAGGGACACCTTCTCATCGTCACGGCTGAGTATCGCGATAATCGAACGCGGTCGTGCCTCTTTATTACCCGCCATTGCTCGGATGCAGCATCCATCTAACGAATCCGGATTCGAACTTTGATCTTCCATTTGCCGAACACGTCGGATCGGACCGGCCGAGCTACCTTGGCCTTTCGATACTCGAATGTCCATTATCCCCGATATCCATAACCGTGTTAATGACTTCGGAAATTACCCTTCCCATCCGCGTAATCTGCTCGCAAATGGAGGCTACATTCTGTTAACGATGTCAGCAATTTCTTCCAGCGGATTACACGAATGTCAACGGTAATAGGGATAACCAGCTTGATCATAGTTTAGCCGGCGCATGATCCATCGTCGCGCGCCGGTGTCAACGGTACGGCTGATTCGGGAACAATATCCGCCACGTATCTGCGCGATACAACGGCCACAGATAGAGTCGCACGCATCGCGAATTTGCATAACTCGGTTTTCCGGCAGACGTGCCGCGCATGAACGCGTCGTCGCCGCCACGGTTACGCGCGCCTACGTGGACAGCATCGGGCCAAAGCTTTTACGACCTCCGCGAACTCCTCAAAGGAGCGGGCCCCCTTCGTTCTACGTGTCGTCGGCTGACAATCGCGTTTCGTCCACCAATCGTTCGTTATTCGGCTTGTTCGAGCTCGTCCCAATGCCGCGTAATTGGAATTCGGGTCGAAGAGGATCGATCGAGATAAAGAACGTTGATTTCTCTCCCGTGGAACATGTCCCGACTATAGGATGCATTTTTCCAAGATCGATCTCTGACGAATAGGGGTCCTCGTTGTGGGAGAAATAATAACGGAATAAATTCGAAAATTTCACCGACGGTGCAGTTTTCTTCATCAGACAACGCGACAATTATCCGACGTATTTAAACGGAATCGATGGATTACCCGTCTTAATCAAAGTTACGGAACGCTATACGTTTCAATTATCCGACTGTCAGCCAACGTCCCGGTGCTCTATATATCAGTGAAACATTGGTCAGAGGCTAGGAGTCGTTCATATTTCACGGACGACACGGAAGTGCATTACGAGCTAACAGATTAAAGTTTTCTCATCAGGAACTGCCGCACGGATTCCTCTCTTCTCGTAACAATCTCTCCTTCGACTCGCTCGATGAGCTACGATAAAGTTTCTCAGCTTACCGGCAACTTCATGGCTGACCCGGTCGGCGAGACTCTTCTTTTCTCGTTGTCTCTGTCCCGCGGAATCTTCCCGGCGATCCGTTGTCGCCTACTGATCCATTTCGTGTCGGCCTGAACGGTTATATACTCCATTACGTGTAACCTCCGATGATGAGTAAGGAAAAAAGTCCACCGCGCCCTGTTTCCTTCGCAAAGACGCGGTCTCTTTGGAATTCCGTGCGCAGAAAAGCAGAACAAAGACCGGACGGCATGGTCTAGCTGCATGGTGGCTGGCCGACTGCCACTCGTAGACCAGTTTCCCGTCGACTACCACTTTCGATTATTAAGATGCGAGGCGGATTTTCGTCGGAATGCGAGGAACATTTCTTTCCTCAGACACTCCTGGTTATGTCCCTCTAATACACTCCTCTCTTCCTAAGAACCTTTAGCTTCGATTGTCTATCCGGGCTATCTTTTCGGCTCGGAATGCAATGGAACCTATCTCTTAGAGAGTCGGACTTATTTTTCTATACCACTATTCCTTTCTCCTCGCAAATCGATTGAGTTCGGAATCGATGGTATATCTGTATTATGATTTCTGCGTTGAAACGCAAGGAACCTATTTCCGGGGGGTCGAACATGGTCCACGTTATGAACGTTTACATCTAATTCTATACCTAAGCTGTCATTTTTATTTAGACCAAAATTATTCCCGGGTCATTTGTCTGATTGAAACTCGAGGAATCTTGTCATTTACAAGTGAAGCCTGTTTTAGAAAGGATTAAGTGTCAACACGGGTGCGACTGGATCAAGTAAGGACAAAGGATCTGCGAGATTAGCGATTTTATAGATATCCATCCCCTACCTGCGTTCGCCATCGCAGCCTCCGCAGAGGAATGGAGAGCACGGATAACATCTGGATGGAGACGTGTCCGAGTTGGACGGGTCGGATCGTGAAAGCTCGGGACAGCGGAGCGTGCAATATGTTTCGCAAACGAACAATTAAATTATGTTATTCGATCGCGCTTGCGCGCGCAATCGGAATATATAGCGCCGGGGCGGGAAACGTAGACCGGCGGAAAAAATGGCGAATTGGAGGCGCGTGGACACGGGCAATTGCTTTTCTATGTTGTAACGTTTGACTGGACTTTCAAGGCAGCATTTCCTGCTTTCCTGTATCGCGATCGAACATTTTAGTCTATCTCGCCGGCGTGTATTCAAGGCCGTCTAACGTAGAATCGAAAGTCAATTTCGCAACATCTCGCGCGGATTGCATCTTATGCACGAACCCTAAATCCTACCGTCGCCTGCGCATTTTTGCGCTCTCCCTCTTCGTCACGGGGAACCTTGGGGTCAATGGTGTTGGGCAGCACGCGCTGGGCATATGGGAAAAAATGAGGGGAAACGTAGAGGAGGAGGGAAATAAATGCATATATATACGTATTTGCGCGGTTGTAAAATATGCAAATTTATCCGTGGCCTGGTTTTCCGGCGCGAAACTTCTGCAACGTTCGCGCGCCATTGCGTGCGCAAACGCGCGCGCCATCGAGATTTCTGATGCAACATTGCCTCTGTGCGAGTTCATCGTTTTAGATCGCTGTCTTGATTTACGGATTCAAGTCCCGACCACGCCCGCTCGCGACACGCCGCGATAGCCTGGCCACTATGAAGCCGACTGACACGCGTTCGTACGGGGTGGATGACGTATATGCCTTCGACTATATAGATTGGAAAATAAGAGTATAAAAGACAAAGTCGAAGCTGGTATTTTCATCAGTCGCTTGTGATTTCGAGTTCGAAGAAGCTTAAGCAACCCAACAAACCCAACAAAATGAAATCCCTGGTAAGATACAAAACTGCGAATCGCTACTTGTACTTTGTAATACTTGTCGATCATCACGTACGTCGCGTTGATCACGGCGAGGATCATTCCACGAGCTTTTTTACGGGAAATATGTTAACCGGAGGATTGTTATTCCACGCACGCAGTTGATCCTCTTCGCCATCTTCGCCGTTGTTGCGGCCTTCCCTGAACAGGAACGAGAACGCCGTGGAATCCTCGCGGCTCCAGCCCTGGCTGCACCATGGGTCGGAGGAGCCAAAATCGCGGCTGCACCCGCTGTTGCCATCGCTGCCGCTCCTAAGCTCCTCGCGGCGCGTAAGTAGCCTTATCGCTTACCAATTATCGAGTACTCCACCTGCAACAACACCGTCTTCCTCTATTCCGCATCTTCCAGCATCTTACAATTTTCCAAGGAATTCTTTACAAATTTCCCAGCAATTTTTCCACGTTTGTTTCCCTGAGCCTAATTTTCTTAAACCTAAGTCTAATTTCAAGCTTGGCGACTTTCGCGAAATCCTGATTACCACGCGGTACTCGCAAGCCAGAATCATAGTTGCAAAGTTGTAGGCAAGTGACTGGTGTCTAATGCAAATTTCATGTACCTTCACAGCAGCAGTCGTTGCCGCTCCCGCCCTTGCAGCTCCGTGGGGATTGAAAGGATGGTAAAGCACTATTTAGTATCCCGGCGTAACTGGACCTGAAGTATTATAGTGAACATCGGCGATGGGAAGCCCTCTCATCGTGAAAAATTTGAATTCGGCGATTGGTCGCACCCGACACCCCCTTTTGGCCGCAATTCCGATCCATTCCCCACATTTGGTGCCACGAAAAATTACTCATCCCCCCCTCCCCTTTGTAATTTAAATTTTACTATCAGATAATAAACCTATTCTAGAAATTACAAAAAAACCCGTCTGTTTTCTTCTTCAAATTCTCTCTTCAAACCCTAGATGGAACCATCGACCAGTTCGTTTAAATTAATGAACACGGGACAAATTAGAAACGCGTATGCATACGTTAATGCCGTCACGATTGCTCGCGAATAATTTCACGTACGTTAGCATCGTTGTGAATATTTTCCGCGATTCAAGGTATCCGCCATTTCTACGTTAATTATTGCCTCCGTACCGGGCGGTTATAACGCATTCAACGTGTAAACATACGAATCGCATAATTAATTTGTTAATTACGAATATGTGGCATTAGCGCAACAGTTGCGACAGTTGCTCGGCGAAAGAATCGATTCGATAACGATCCCGTGCAGAAAATATTCCAAGCGTGATAATTAAACGTGTTACCCCGTTGTAATTCATCGCGTGCACGCCGTGTTGCATTCCGCCTATAAAGTTCGAATCTATAATTCGCGTTTGCTGGATTCCTATTACGTGGAAGAGCTGTATAAACGAGGGACAGGAAATCCAATCGCTTCTAATTACTTCCAACTTAAACACTCGCCATATGCTTTCCGATATCGAAGAGTTTACGTAGTTTCAACGTAATATATCCGAATAGAAATTAACACGATACGCCACTTGTATCCAATTTCGTAGTTTGCTGTACACGTTGGTTAAATCTTGGCAGGAGAAATGCCTTCGTTAGTAATTTTCCTCCATTTTCAACGGGCGTAATTAATACTGCGAATGGCGAGGGAAGAAAGTGCTTGTATTTTAAATTGCAGTTCCCAAGTTACAGTGTCTTGCTCGCTGTAGGCCACCCAAGTTACACCGAATTCATTATTTCACGTGTCCTTTCATTGGCAACGGCCACAGGCGAAGGAGCAGCGGTAATGCGTTTAACAATCTAATTAGAAACTGGAACGACTGGTCCTGGGGGGGCCACGAGTGGTCGCTAACTTTTACGGCTACCTAAGTAGCATTAAACTTGAATTAAGCGAGACTTGGTTCGGATTTGATTATCGGGATTAACGTGTTCGGGATTGAAAGTATCGCAGAAACGGAAGATTACAGTGCAGCTTCGTTTATTAACGTGGAAAAGCGTAACAATTACGAGTCACTAGTTACGAGGATAGAATGCGACCTCGGAGCAACTGTAACGCGTTGTTTGCATTGTTAGGAATAATAGCAAATCTTGCATATATGTGCACAATGTCGATAATGTAGCATGCGAGCTATGCGTGAAATGTATGAAGTGTATGTAAATGAAGTAGTGACACCTATTGTTGCAATATAAACCTACTTACCTCGTTGCATACATAGAGTGTCCCAGCAACGTTATACAACCGAGAAGCGAGTGATTTTACGTGGAAAAATAAATTGAAAATGAAGAATAAAATTTTTCTATTTAAAGCTTCGTTATCGAGAAAATCGACTTTGAACAGTGACCATGCAAGTGTGCATTAGTTGCGACTTAGATGGATAAATCAGTAATACATCAGCAACGATGGTACAAATAAGTAGAGAGCGATTCTGCATGGAAAAACGAATCGAAAATAAAGAATAAAATTTTTTAATTTGAAGCTTCTTTATGGAGGAAATTGGCTTTGAATATTCACCGAGTACGTGTGCACTTAGCAATGGCTCATAAATACAACCAAGGAGGGGGTAATTTTACGTGGAAAAATAAATTGAAAATGAAGAATATTCATTGTATAACCTAACTTTCATAAGAGAGCATGGTAGTTACACGTCATTTGGACCTGGACTTCTTCGAAATCGTGTAACGATGTTAAAAATCGACGAATTTTAAGAAAAATGGTACTATATCATGCTTCATAGTCCTACTTATCTATTGGAATAAAAATTGTTTCCAAAGTAAAATTTTTCTAAAATAATTTGTTGTCATCTTTTGATGCATCCGTCCCCCAATTCGACGGCAAGATCAGCGACGATTATTAGACCTGCGAAGGAAAATCATTTCCATCATTACATTCCCAGTTCACCCCAAAGTCTTGCAATTTCCAACTAATCGAACTTCAATCTCTCAATAACCTACCGCGATTCATTATCAATCAAGCTTTAACGCGATCTTTAGCCAAAACGAAGTTAAGGTAATTTGGAAAATTACACGGCGTAACCAACCGAAATTGTTTTCAAGTTCCACTGCTTAGTATTACCATACGATTACATAGTTCGTTAACTATTCTAGCGTAATGACCGAAGTTGGTTAACAAATTCCGAGTTTAATCGGGAGCGTTTGAAGAGACAGAGCGAAGCAGTTACCGGCAGACGCTCCACGACTGGAGCGCCATTGGAGGTCCCAATTACCGCGGCAGACCCAGCAGCGGGCCCAATTAACGCGTCAGTACCAGCACCAGATCCGACCGAAGTGAAGGGGCCAGTAGCTGGCCCAAACAAGCTACTGGTTGCTGACTCAGGGGCTTCTGGTCCTGAGACCGCCTCACTAGGTAGCACTCTGCCATGATCAACCACATGACTCTCATAGATGGATTTGACAATGGCCGGGACGACGACGAGGATGTCACGGGACACGATTAATGTTATAACCAGAATATGTCATTAAAGGCACGCGTATGCAGGATCGACACTTAACTGTATTTCAGGAAATAGTTATAAAAGACTTTAATAAAATAACTGGATATTCCTCCTATGACCTTTAGTCCATGGATCTAGAGGATGTTGAAAAACGCACGAAAAACTGTGAGCAAGCATTGACTGGTTTATTAAAGAATCGATGGGTTTTTATGCATATGGTTGTCTCATTTTTAAACGGGTGACGAATGATTAGGGTTGGGTTTGGGTTGTCACGTCAGCTGCCGTTACATCGAACACTGTAATCGAGACGTCAGGGATTTTCAACGCAATTGACATTCGAACAAGTTTCGAAAATACAAAGCTGTAGCATTCGAGGTTAATTCCAAATTTTGCCAAGCTCCGAGTCCAAAATCTTTGGTATATATATGAATATAAACGATCGGAGGTATGTTACACGTGTTTTTCGAAGCTGTCCGCGTGGTTTGACGAATGGACACACGCGTGTATGTACCTCGCGGCTGCCGACATCGATCGACGAGCAGATAAATTCAATTAGCGATCAAAAATTTCACCACGGTGATAATACGTTTTCTCTAACAGTCCGAGACAGGTGACAACTGCTCGATCGCGAGATTACGCGGATGAAATGTGATAAATGGAATTATCGAATTATCCCATCTGAACTTCCGATGTATGACCATCCGGGACTGACACTTCACCATGTACTTCATGTTGATCTGGTTTTGTTAGTCTTTAGCTGGCTGATGATTGATGCTCGACTCTCCTCGCACGTCGCCTGTGTACGCGATTTGTTGGAACCCGAGCTCTCGATTATGGCAATGAACAATCAACGATATACTAGGTGAAGTAAAAAGAAATCCATTATTTTTGCATGAAATTGAATATAACGAAAGACGAAGTAAGTTAACAATATTGGCCCCCACCCAGAATATTTCAGTATTTGTATTTATAAAAAGAAATCCATCATTTTTGCATGAAATATATATATGTAGGATCATTTTTAGGTGGACTGACCTAAGATAGTATTATTGGCTTTTTAATAGAATAAAATAATTCTCATACCATTCCTAGATATATTAGGCGAAGTAAAAAGAAATCCATTACTTTTGCATTCAATTTCATGCAAAAATAAATAAATAACGTAAATATAAATTTAATTCAAAATAAATTTTTGCTTCACCTAATATATGCAGAAATGGAATGAGAATTATTTTATTCTATTAAGAAGCCAACAATATTTAATTCAATAATAATCAATATCAAATTCAATTTCATGCAAAAATAATGGATTTCTTTTTACTTCACCTAATATATGCTGGAATGGAATGAGAATTATTTTATTCTATTAAAAAGCCAACAAAACTATCTTAAGTCAATCCACCTGAAAATGATCCTACATATATATATTTAATTTTTGTAGGATCATATGGGTCTGTTCGAAAAGTATGACGTGGTGGAATAATGGTGATATATAAGACAGTTTAATGAGACCACGTGACCAATACACGAATGGCAACATATTTACATATTTACAATAGATGTAGCGATTAGCCTCATCGCCATATATTATAGAAGTGCATGCATATGTTAATGACCATCGAATAGCTCGCTATTAATTTCACGGTCGTTAGTATCGTTCGGAACATTTTCAACGATTTAAGGTACCTCCCATTTCTATGTTAATTATTGTCACCAAATAGAACACGCGTTAACAACGCATTCAACGTGTAAACATACGAACCGCATAATCAATTTGTTAATTACAAATATGTGTCATTAACGCAACAGTTGCTCGGCGAAAGAATCGATTTGACAATCACCCTGTGTTGCTCTTCGCTTATAACATTGGAATATGTAATTAGCGTTTGTTGAATTTTTATTACCCAGTGGTGCTGTATAAGCAGGAAATTGAATGGTTTCTAAATGCTTTAAACTTTAAACTCGCCATGTGCTTTCTGATAATAAACAGTTTACATAATTTGAACATAATACACATTTATTGTTAGAAGCTTAGTCAAAAATATCAATTGTGACACGTCTGTTCAATGAGAGTCACAAATAGATTTTGAATTATATTCCTTTTTCTTTATTATACTGGTGTGTGTATGTGTGTGTGTGGGTGAGCTCGTCACGGTCCATGGTAAACGTTTGTAAAGCAAACACTTCACAAATAGATTTTGAATTATATTCCTTTTTCTTTATTATACTGGTGTGTGTATGTGTGTGTGGGTGAGCTCGTCACGGTCCATGGTAAACGTTTGTAAAGCAAACACCATTGTGTTGTGCCATTGTGATCAATATATATTGTAAGACGAGTTTACAATTATCTGGAGCTATTTATCGATAGCATATGCAGTACAGTTATACCTTATTCTTATGAATAGTGCAGTAATCATATCAGATATCGCTTTATATAGCGACTACAATAACTGTCAACCAATACTGGTTTTAAAGAATGCATTGCCACTTATCAAGAATACCGCTACATTGAGAACAAGCTGAACGTTGACAAGGGTCGTAGGCCCGTCGTCCGTGACTTAGCGAGGGCCTATGTGCAGTCGTGGAAAACATTATACAGGCGAAATAGCAACGGCCAACGAACGGCCATATATAAATAACAAACCCAAATATTATTTGTTAATTAGAATAAAGCGTTAAAGAAGTATCCAAAAGCCTTTAATCGAAGCTTCCAGAACTTTCAAGCAGTCCTCTGAAAATTTATATATATATATTAAACGATTTAACGTAATATACGCATATTCAAATGAATTCATTTAACCAAACTCTGTAACCAACACTAATACCCAAGTAGCATTAAACTGGAATTAAACCAGACACGGTTCCAGTTTGACCATCAGGATTAAGGTGTTCGGGATTGAAAGTATAAACCGGTGATTACAGTGTAGCTTCATTTATTAACGTACAAAAGCGTAACAAGGGTATGGCTAGTTACAAGGGTAAAATTCGCGACAGAACCTCGGAGAAACTCGAACGCGTTGTCCGCGTGAATCGAACAGACCGCTCGTGGCAAACGAAAAATGAATACTCGTCGTCGTTTCAGCCTTCTGTGCATCCATTGATTCAGATCGTCGATTTATCTTCCGCTCGGAACAACGCTGAGCTTTGATCCAAGTCCCGCGGACGGAGGTCGATGAGGAGCCGCTTGCAGGTTCACGAGAGAGATCGTTCGAGTCGCCTTAAGCTCTTGGGGCCGAATCCTGGATGTCGATGTTCTACCACAGGCCCAGGGCTGCGGCTCCTGGTGCGACTACTGCCCCTGAGGGACCAGCGACGACCGTGGGACCTACCAAGGAAACGTTATTCTCAACCTTACATTCCCATTTTATAATTGAGACCGCCCAAAATTTTCGCGATGTCCAGCCAATCGAATTTCCATATTTTCTTAATTTCATGACACTGTTCGCAAACGTTTAACGCGATACGTCCTCCATCGAGGTTTAACGCGATCGTTGCCTAACACGAAGTTAGGGTAATCTGGAAAATTACCCGGCGTTATCAGCCGAAATTGTTCCAAAGTTCTACTTCCTGGCATAACCATACGATTACATAGTTCGTTAACTATTCTACCGTAACGACAGAAGTTTGCCAACAAATTCCGAGCTTAATCAGAAGCGTTCGACGCGACAGAACGAAGCGCTTACCTGCAGCCGGTCCCACGACCGCAGCAGCACCAGCAGCGGGCCCGACTACCGCGGCAGAACCAACAGCTGGACCGACCACAGCGGTGGGGCCAGCAGCAGGCCCGACTACGGCCGCTGGCGCAGCGACGGGTCCTATAACCGCAGCCGCGGGTGCTAATGGTCCCGCGACAGCCACTCCAGGCAGCACCCCACCAAGGACTACCGCTCCATTGTGTCCCCAGCCCAGGGAACGACGCTCACGGTCGGGGTTGGCTGAGGCGATGGCCAGGGCGGCGACGAGGACAATCTGCAATTGACACGTCAGAGATTTGACACAGTTCACCTCTCGATCAAGTTCCAAACGTGCCTAGTTACGATTCTCGAGGTTTCTTTCACATTTTCCCAAGCTTCCAGTCTAACCTCTTCGATACGAAATACATCGATCGAGTACAAACGATCGGACATATCGTTTAACGAATTGACACACTCTTGCATGTACTTCGCGCTTGTGGACATTGATCGACGAGCAGATAAATTCAATTAGCAATAAAAAAGCTTCGACACAGTGATTATACGTTCTCCCTAACAATCCGAGACAGCTGACAACTGGAGGGAATTAAATAATTAATACCATGCTCCGAGTGTAACTACGGTTGTCAACATCGATCGACGAGTGGATAAATTCGATTAACAGTAAAAAATTCCATCACGATAATTACACGTTTCCCGTAACAATCCGAGACAACTGCTGTCAACTGCTCGATCTTGAGATCGTGCTTACAAAGTGTGACAAAAATAATGATCACTCCGATAACTATATTCTAACTAGTACACGGAGTTCATGGAATAAATATCTCACCATGTACTTCATGTTGATCGGGTTTTGTTAGTCTTCAGCTGGCTGGTGACTGATGCTCAACCCTCCTGACACGTCGCCTTATATACTCGATCGGCGACGACCGGTAGGATGCAACCTTCAACCCCGCATGAAAGTAGGAATAACAAACGAGCCAGGGTGCGGTCATAGGCGGCTGGTATCAGAGCAGGCGATACACCGGAGTTCCGGGTCCAACGTCACATGGACGAGAGCCGTTATCACGAGGAGACGTGTTGCAGCCTCGAATCGTGCTTACCGGTTACCGCAATAACGCTCGCTGCGAGAGCACAGGATTTTCCCGCTGGTCAGCAACGCGTGTCGCGGGGAATTCGCTGATCGCCTCGTTGCGAGCTTCCACCCGCTGCGAAACTCGCCGCGTATTTCGGCCACTTTGATGAACGTGCATAATCACCACTCGCAGGTGAAATTGTCGAAATCGGTAGTTCCTGCGAATTGTTCGCAGTTTGCCCGGGAACAACCGGGCCAGCGATGTTTTTCCAGGAAACAACTGCGGATTTTAACGAATTCTTGCCGCATCCATATTAAGGGGCGTGTTTGCATTCGCAATGTTGCGAAACTCGACCAGCCGAATTATCGTTTAACGCACACACAACGCTGCATGTGAGTTAATAATTAATCTCTCTGCTTCCAGACGTGTAACTCGGCTAGTTTCGTGTTAATTACACCAACCAGACTACGATTGCGTATCGAATAGCGATGTTCGTGTGTACGTAGGTAGCATCGAGACTGTTAAAGGGTTATAACGTAAAGGAATAGTGGTAACAGTGGGAAAATTATAGATCTTTTAACCACCTGCTCTGGAAAGACGTGTCACGCACGTTGTAACGCTTTCGTCACAGAATCGCCAACGACGTGCTATACACGTGGTTAGGCAATTGTTACAGAAACAATAGACCGTTCTGGCACACGCGTCTGTGAATTTCTTGCCACCGCAAGTGGTTAAACGAACGAAGGATTAGAAATGGCCAGTTTAGGGCCACGCAGGTCACGAGACGTCTCCAGGAAACGAGAGACAAAAGACAAAACGCAGAGAAAAGGATCGTCCACACATCATTAGGACTTAGAGTTTACTTTACTATTTAGTTTTTACTGCAACAGGCACGAAATATTCGACGAGCTTCGAATTCGATACACCCTGCGACCCAAATAGACGAATTACCTTTTGACAGCTTGTAGACTACTCTTGCGCGTCACGGAGATACGCATCGTGACAATTTCCCGAGTAAGGTGTCATAAAATGCTATTCTATTGCATAAACGAAAGGGTCCTAGGTAGAAGTCAAAAATCGGAACGCATTGCGGAATTCTGGCTTCGTACGATGCAAAAGCACGTTGTTTCTCATACCGTTTATTGTTCTTTCATTATAACGGCAAACAGCGTGGCAATACGCGTCTAGGGAAATAGTCGAGGGAAAAGGAAGCGGCGAATCAATTTCCAGGCAGAAATTTCGAGGCAGCCAGCGATGCGATGGTTCGCAAAGAATAAACGAGCTCCGATCGCGCGCGAATAAAACAGCGAAGGGTGGCCGTTCCGTGGTGCCCTTTTATTTCGGCCGGGTCGGGTCCAGCAGTTTTCCAGCATGGCTACCGGTAATCCGTCCTTTGAATCCGCGCGCCGGCATCCGGCTGGAACAGCGTAATTGCGCGTGTCAGATTTGTCAAGTTGGAAATCGTGGTCCGCGAGCCTTTGCCTCGCCCGTGCGAATTTACGGCCAGCCACGAGTTTCCGCGAAGCGTTGCACTTCCACCCAACTCGCCAAGTGTTTCTTCGCTGATGGAATAATTGGGGAAACTTGGTCGCAGAATGGACCACAGTGTGAGTTATTCGCGCTGTTCGGACGGAAAGTTCCGGGTAGAGTTGGCGAGTCGATTCGACGTTGGTCACGTTTGGGATTTTCGCGTGATCGAAGTCGAGTCCCTCTGCCGATGCTAACTTCCGGAATTAATTTCCGTTCAGGTATTGTCGAACCACGTTTCGCGATGTCATCGTGGTAACAGCATTTCCCCGTAGCTCTTCGATCGTAAACCGATGACGATCCCGAGTTCCAAATTGGTGTCAATGAGTCCCATTAACGGTCCCTGCGCGACGATTTGCTATTGAACGCGTTTTTGGTACAGCTATCGAACTACCGGGTCGTTTTATTATTCCATTACGTGGCAGTTGTCAACGAAAGTGAAATTTTGTCATCGAGATCCACTTCGCGACCCGTTTACGATTGACCGTTTACGCGACCCTTCGAGTGACTGGGAAGCTAGAATTCACACCTAACGACGGACCCCTGCGCCACGATTTGCTATTAACACTTTCGGTATGGAAGAGCTGGCCGCGGTTATACATCCGTGGTACGAGGAAGTTTCCCACAAGAGTGGTGGCACTGGAAGCCACGAAAATGGGTTTTGCGGTATTCGTAGAAATCTCTAGCGTGATTGACACTAAACTTTTCATTCGGACCGCGACAGTTATCGGTGAGGTTTCGTGGATGCCGCCAATAGGCGACGGTAGTACCTAGAGAAGGTTTCGTAGATACCACTAATAGGAGACGGTAGTACCCAGAGAACATTTCATGGCCGCCGCCATTTGGCAGTAATAATACCGAAAGGGTTAAGGGACGTCAGGTTCTCGGTATATGTATGGGCCTACCGGGTCGTTTTATTATTCCATTACGTGGTAGTTGTCAACGGAAGTGAAATTCTGTCATCGAGGTCCACTTCCCGACCCATTTACGATTGACCATTTACGCGACCCTTCGAGTGACTGGGAAGCTAGAGTTCACGCCTGACGACGGACCCCTGCGCGACGATTTGCTTTTAAAGGACGTCACGTTTTCGGTCCAGGTGTGAGCCTATTAGGTCGTTTTATCATTTCATTACGTGACAGTTGTCAATGACAGTGAAATTCTGTCATGGAGGTCCACTTCCCGACCCATCCGCGATTGACCGTTTACGCGACCCTTCTAGTGACTGGGAAGTTAGAATTCACGTTTGACATCGGATTGCTCGTGGATCCGTGATCGCGAGTATCCCCCTGGGGTCCGTCGAAAATCGGACGCGAGACTGGAACGGGCAGATATTGAAAAGTTGGAGTCTTTGTGACGAGTCTACGAGGTCGGTTCCTCTCGCGGAATATCCGTTCGATTCGCAGGCATCACCCTTTCAGCGCTTCTTCGACCCTTTGTGTCAAAGGTTATCGATTATCGGAAACCTTCTGGCCCTGTTTGCGTGACGCTGCATCTCGTTCCCGTCCATCGATCCTCCTGCTGATCGTCTGTGCTCGAACACGCTTCGTGTCACTCCTTTTGCCAGGGATTATTAGTGGCAACGTGGAATTCCGATTAATATTTCTGGGATCGGGAGTAGGTCGAGCGAAAATAGTCGGACGTATCCAATGGGAGCGGGTTTATCGACGAGCAGTCTTCGTCCCACGCGGAACCGATCGGTCTTTCGAATCTTCTCGACGTTTCAGATATGCGATGAATTTTTTAAATCGACCCTCGCTATTTCCAGTGCCCCGACTTGTGGAAACGGGTATACATCCTTGGTCTCGAAAAAGATAAACTGGAAACCCAATTTTCACTTATACGTTTATTTAGACGAGCCGAGAACTCGCTGCTCGGGAACGCGATGCTCGGAGAAACGAAAGACGAAGCACAAAATTAAATAAAATATCGATATTATGGAATCGAGGTTAATCGTATATCAAAATGAAGCCATGACTCGAATTATCCAATGGAGTATAAATTATTTACAATTAATAATCACGTTTAGATTATTCCCAGCGTGACTAGCTAAGAGATGTCAATAGTCTACGAGATTAATCAAAATTCCAAAAACGAAAGGAACATCGAAAAATATTTTTCTATTGACAGGAACGAAGAATGACAGGATCTAGGCAAGATCTAAGCTGAATTCAGGAATAGGATACGTCGATGAGCATCGGTTGTCCAATCTGTCAACAGGCTAGCTGACTCTGCGAAAGGAGTCGAAGCGAGGGTCAAAATGTTCCATATTCCGGCATGAATCTCCCAAACGTGCAGTAATTCTCGAGTCTCGCGATTAACGAACATCCATCGTCGTTCGCGACACGCGAAACAAAATTCGGCCTCGAACGATTTCGCCAGGCGAACATTTACGACCCTCCTATTTCATGCAGATAAACGGCGGGGATCAGCCAATTTCGATTTCATTATCGTCCCATGATTTAATAGCACCCCATTAGCTTGCAGAGTCAATATCGTGTTTTCGTAAATTAATCCAAGCGTCCATTAAACGTCACCGGGTTTTTCTCGTGGGCCAGGCCTGCGTTACGTTGCAACGATAACAACGATGGACCATAATTAGGTGGCCGGGGCAATTAGCGTTATTAGCCGCGGCTTAAACGAGTACGAACGAACGCTCGATGAAACGCGCGTATAGACACCGGGGGCAGAGAATTGAGCGAGAATTGCGAGCGTTGGCAGGAGTACCGCACGAGTACACGACATCGTGGCCGATATTACGCACCGCTACGGATAGTTGCATGCATCTCATTGGACTGCCACTGTGCTCGCAACATACCGTTAAGCCGTCGCGTCTGAAGGACAAAATACCGTTTAATTAATTCGTCGATCTCGTAAAGCCGGTAGATACGATTACGAGTTTGCCGATGCATCCCAATCGTATCCGGGATTCGATTCCGACCCAGGTACTTGCGAGCCTGGTTATCCGTGCAGAGGTGTTTTCAGGGTTTCGTTGGAACCCCCAAAACCGAACTGAGTTTCCAATCGATCTAGATATTAACGATTTCACCGTGAAGCGAAGTCGCGTAGATTTTAGCCAGTTTTGGCTACTTTTTAAATCGGGATACGTCCATCTCGAGACTTTGTGTATATGGATTAACATGGTCGTTCATTTAACGTTAAAACCAGAGGAGATTAAATACTCGACTCTGGAAATATTAATCGGGATTTTTGGTGAAATGGGACGACCGAGTATATGCCAGTGCCGTATCATGGTGGTTTGAAAGGGGTTCTTAAAGCGCACTGTCAATGTGGTCTAAGAGTACTCATGGTTTATGGGAAGTTGGAGTTGTTTTAAATGTCCACTATAGTAAATAGACATGAGTTGATATTAAATGTTAATTAACCACCTCTTTTCTTTTATTATTCGATGATAAGTTGCTGCAGCTATAAACTGCGGATGGACCCAAGTGTCAACGATTTCCATCTCAGTTTGGCACCAATCATTTTCCATCTTATTCTTAATTACGTCTGAATATTCCTGCGATCTTGTGTACATGGATCAGTACGGTCGTTCATTTTACGTTAAAACCAGTGGGGATCAAATGCTCAATTTTGTAAATATTAATTGAGAGTTTTGGTGAAATTGGACTACCGAGTATAAGTCAATGCCGTATCGTGCTCATTTGGAAAGGGTTCTTTCGTTTCAATATACTGTCAATGTAGCTTAAGAGCGGTCGTGGTCCACGAGGTCATGGTTCGAGTTACTTTAAGTGTCCACGGTAGTGAACAGAATTTAGTGGTAATAAATTGGTGACAAAATTGATATTGAAGGCTAATTAACCACCTCTATCCTTCTACTGCTTCTCGTCAAGTTGCTGCAGCTATAAACTGCACATGGACCCAGGTGTGAACGCTCTCCACCTCAGTTTGGCAACGATCAGGCTATCTTCCATTTTATTTCTAATTACATCCGAATATTCAACCAATTCGATAACATCTTCTGAGCGTCGTTATACAAAACACGAGACAAAGTATCCACGAAGCAAATGAACCACGAGTTGAGCATGCTGAAATGACAAAAGCGCTTCTTAACCGGGCCTCCTCTTAATCCATATTTGTTAACATCTTCCAGGCGACAAAGTACAGAGCACTTACTCGGGGCTGTCATACTTTATACTAATTAAAACGGAGGAAATAACGCGACTATTACAGCTTCTTCGTTATCTCCTGTTTCCTCTCACCCCGCGATCCATTAGTCTCCACCCGCGGCTGGGAGAAACACAAGCGCGTATTCTCCATTTTTGCAGAACGTTAATGTCACTCGGTGTGTATCTCATGTTGCGACATCGATTATCGTACCCGACATCTCGAGCTCCATAAATCCGTCGCGTGCTCGCGGAGGACCGTTAGAGGTCCTTGAAGAGAAAATCCGTTCCACTCTCGTAAGCGCGACAGCCAGTAGCCGCGCGATCGGCCGGGGGGAAATAAAAATATGGCGGCGTTCGATCAGTCGGCCTGTTGTCAATGGTGACTTGTCAATCGCCGTACTTGACAGTGAACCGATTATCACCGCATAATTGGACTCGCAGCTCGCGTGGCACGCATTGTTATCCGGTCCCCGTTTCGTCATTCCTCGAGGATTTTTCGCGTAGGCATCGGAGACGATGGAGCACAGGTGCACGCTGCGACTTTCTTCCCCCGTTCCTGGGCCCCGTCGCCCTGCCGCGGCGGAGGTGTGCGTTGAAATATTCATGACGGGGATGTCGGAGGGAGCCAGGCCGCGAGTTGTCTCTAAGCGCGTTCCGAATCGCGCGGTTGCAAAATTATTCGTACGTGCCTCTTTGCGTGGGAGCCGGGTCGGATCGCCGATGCGAGTCGACGCATCGATCGTTCCACGGGTACGTCGATCCGTGGTCGCAGGCTGCCGAGAGTTTCCCGGGTATTTAATGCGATTAACCGCGAATGGAGAGCTATTCCGAGTATTCTAAATTTCGGCAAGAGCTCGGGGAATTCGTTTCACGGCACGATGAACTATTTTGCTAGCTGGAAACGGTCGGGACCGGTACGAAAAGGTTCATGCTCGACGAGACGAGTTGAGTATGGATATGACGTGTTTTATTTCGTATAATTACAATGTTACATTTGTATAAGCGTATGCGTTTCCAGACTCGTAGGCAGTGACGTCGCCACAGATAGGAGGATTGTATAGAGTGGTCTGTATAGTCTAGAGTAGAGGTACATGATGTAATTTCGAGACGGGTTGGTAGGCTATTATCCAGCAACGACGGCCGAGGAAGAAGCTCCGATGACCGCTGTCTTGGTAACCGGACCAGCGACGATCGTGGACGTAGCCGGTCCAGCGACGACCGCAGACGCTGCTGAGCCAGCAACGACCGTGGCTGCTGGCGCAGCCGCCACTACCGCTGGCACGCCAAGAGCATTACCTGAGGATCCGTATGTTCGTACGTGTGGTCATCTGTTTTAACAAATATGACAAATTCGACGTAAAACGTAGTCCACGTACCAACGACAACGCCGACCCCGGGTCCGGAGACGAGGGTTGCTCCGGCTGCCGAACCGACCACAGCCGAGGGCGCAGCTACGGCTCCAGTGACGAGTGCTGGTCCAGCGGCTGGTCCTACTACCTTAACAGCCCCAGTCGCGGGGCCCGCGACAACCGCTGGTCCCACCGCAGGTGCAGCCACCACTAATGGACTGAGAAGTCCGCTCGGTGCTGCCGAGCAAACAGACACGATCGCAGCGAGAACAGCCTAACGCGTGGGATTCAATGAATCGTTACAAAACGTGGTTACCGTGATCGTTCACCGCGAAATTGCGATGTTTCAAATCGGAATGTCAGCCGGAAGCTTACCAAGTACTTCATAGTTACCGCTTCGTTTGTCCACCGGTGCTAACGACGTAAATTGAGAGACTGTCAATTAACCCCGTAATCTTGGCTTTTATACCGCGCTCCGACCCTGAATTCGTAGCTTTCCCGGCATTTTTCTGCGCTGGAAATGTCACACCGCTACTCCTTGTGGGGCACGACCCATTTCCATGCGGAAGAATTTCCTCGGCGCGTGTCTGAGTAAGCTATTAAACCGCGCGTCGAACACATGACACGTAGTCCCCGCGTGCTGCGCGGATTAATTGCACCCGCCCCGTGGTATCGCGGTGCACGAGCGGAACTCGAATGCCTAAGTTCGAGGAATTCTCGCGAATCGACGTTGCCTCGTTATCCTCGCGCCGACGGAATTCATTCCGCTTAGACAATTTGATTTAAGTACACGAACTTGTTGCTCGTCGTCCCGATTTCGCAGTCGCGGCGTCGCGACGGTAATTCGCTGCCAAGATAGACTGGCAACCCCCGCGAACTTGCGGCGGCACGCAGTGTCGAGTGCATCTCTAGGATTCGGTGCCTTTTCGTGCCCTTTCGTCGAACGACGCCTCGAGGGACGTGGTTGACGTTGGACCGAACGAGAGCAGACTCGAGATGGTTCCCATTTCGAAGGCATCAGTTAGTACCCCTCTTCGGTGGCTAATTCTCTCACGCACGGGAGTCTTAAACGGTACCAGCACCCCTCCAAATCGCGAGTAACCACGTGGATTTTCTACCCGATAGATGGATGACATTCGTCGAGATATGATCTGCTATTTGGCTACCCGAAATTCGTGTTTCTCGTACGGAATGCGCTTCTACGTTTAACGACGACCATTCCACCCCCTCGTAAACTTCCCCGTGAAACGACGGGTACTTGTTGCTGTTCATCCGAGCATAGACGTGGTTTTCCTTTGGAACGTGGCGATAGCAGTTCCACATGGTGTCCCGATTCCCGGTCAGGGACAGGGAACGTGACAGCGTTTAGCAAAAAAGACAGAGTCTAGGACGCTGCGGGGGTTGACGCGATTGAAATTGGAGATTAAAGAAGCGCTAGGGGGATGTGACATGTATCGAGAGGCTCGCGGACAAAGGTATGATCGGATATCGGTAGAACCTGGCGCCGATGAAGAGAATACTCGGCTGATTGTAGCGGTGTTGAAGGCATTTCATATAATTATCGGCAAAGATGGACACCTGGTTAACTTCCCCTTGAAACGACTGGGTACTTGTTGCTGTTCATCCGATGATAGACGTGGTCTTCCTTCAGTTCCTGGTCCCACATCATGGCCCGATTCCCGATCAGTGACGAGGAACGTGACAGCATCTAGCAAAAAAGACAGGGTCTTGGACGCTGCGGGGGTTGACGCGATTGAAATCGGAGATTAAAGTAGCGAGAGGAGGATGTGACATGTATCGAGAGGCTCGCGGACAAAGCTGCTATCGGACATCGGTGGGGCCTGGGGCTGATGAAGAGAATACTCGGTTGATTGGAGCGGCGTTGCAGCCATTTCCTATAATTATCGGCAAAGGTGGACAGGTATCGTCCCACGGCGCAACGGCGACTCTGACGCCGACGTCGGTACAATGGGCCGCGATATTCAGACGTTGGCCACGCCACGACGTCCACCATAATATTCCACAGGCAGAACAATGCTCTCGCGATCGCTGTCGCTTTAATCGTCCACGCCGACTCGACCCGTAATGGGCGTCTTCACTCTGGCTGGTCGACTGTGAAATTGTCAAGAAGACCGACGGTCGTGGAAGCTCTGGACTAGGATCTCGACGAAATGACAGGTAAGTCGCAGTTGAACGACGTCTGAGTCGCGTCGCGATTTGTCGATCGTTCGATCGAACCGTTTTCCCAAATATTTACGTTAACCGCGTTGGCTTACACATCGGGCTCGCTAATTGTTTGCGAACAAATACAATACCGAAAGTTTGGTCCGCGGCCTCGTGCACCAGTCGCAATTACACCGCTGGAACATTTCCGTGCTTGAAACTTTGAGGTACGCTATTGTCCTCGTTACAACGTTTGGTCTTTTGTTTCCAGCGAACTCGAGGACACGTTAACCGAACTTATTTACCGGGAACAATTGAAATTCGCGAAACAATGCTCGTTTGTTCGTGAACACGCGCGTTCGGCAATTTTGTTTTCTTCTCGTTTAAATCCCGTGTTCGAGTCGTTATTCCTAACCGTCCCCGACACCCTGCGCTAAAAGGTGCAGTGGAACTCGAATCGGGGGGTAGGTGGATGGCTGTCGGCCGAGTACGAGTAGACAGGTTCTTCTCCAAAGTGGCATGCGTTTATTATTACATACGATAAACATATAAAAGATACATTGTTATGTACACGGATTACATGTAAAAGATACAGTGATGGAGGTACTAGCGGTAAATGACGGAGATCGTGGCGCGGTCGGTTTCAAGATGGCAGGCATCGGAGGAGATCAGTCGAAGATGTCATTGCGTGTAGGGGGGGAGGGGGTCCGGGATGAAACGGGGATTACCAGTGGCCATCGGCGCGTAGGATACTGCCTACTCCTGCTGGACCGGCTGCTATGCTTCCGGATGGTCCGGCGATGAGCGCTGGGGCGGTGATCGGGCCCGCGAGGGCTGCGGGTGCGGCTGCTGGACCAGCAAGTACGGTTCCTGTTTACGAATTGCTCGAAATTAGAGAAAGCCAAGAGATAGCGATTTACCGTGACCGATAAGCGCGATTGCCGGCTGGAAATGGCGATAAAATGCCAATAAACCTGGCGTTGGCAGCGAATAGACATCGAAGAGCGAATAAAGTTCGGGCTACCACGCATGGTGGGATTTATCGACCATTGTGGGCACGTATGCCTGCTTATACGCGGGTAACGTTCCGCGTTGGAAGATTAGGCACGCTCGATCCCTCGCGAGGATAACGTGAAACGCGCCCAGTTAGTTACAATATCCAATCAACGTTACAAAAGAAAGCGCATCGATTCAAACGTCACACGCTTGTCTCGCGATACCGTTCCAAGGTAGCCGTTATCGTCACAATCTATCAGCGTGACCCGCGTTGTCGCAAATATGCTCGTAAGCGTCAAGTGGGGAAATTTACGAGTTTACTCACCCCAAGGTGACCACGCAGGCGCGGCAAGTGCTGACCAGGGTGCCGCGTGACCGGCAACGCTACCGGAAACTAGAGAGGGACCAGCGACAGCTCCCGTGACCACAGCGCCACCGTCCACGGCTCCGGATAGGCGAGCTGGTCCAACTACCGGTCCAGCGAGAGCAGAGGGTCCGACGATCGGTCCGCTGAGGGCAGCAGGTCCTAGGAGCGGTCCAGCCAGGGCAGCACCTGGCGCCAGCAGGCCCGATGGGGCTGCAGCCACCACCGAGAGGACCGCGACGAGGAAGACCGCTACGAGGGTGCACATGTTGAAGGGTTCGTGGAAGGGTTTGCTCGTTGCTAAGCTAGTGGAATAGTTTGCCTCGATGGCTGGAATGGATGTGCTGGCATCTGGCTGGCTCGATGGCGCTTTTATAGGGGCATTGTCTGCACTCTGGGTGCCTGCTGCTCCCGCCAACCCCAAGGGCGGGGCACAGGACACGCCAAACATTCTCTGCGGGCTGGGCGCGTGGCCGTTTCCTCGGCTTATCAGCATTAAGACAGTCATCGAGTAGCGGCGACACGCGGGCAATGCTTAACGCCTCGCAGCCCACCCGTGCCCCCGGAGGTCGCCCGCTCCAATTCAACACCGCGTTGCATCCGTTTCAGCGCTGCTTTTTACGATTGTCTCTGGCCTTGCGTAGAACACGGTGGGGAAGTTTGACTGTTTAACGATTCAAACGTGGGTCTAAGTAGTCACGGTCCGGGGGGTACGGCTGTTTAAAATTCGCCACTGAATATCCCAAGAGGTCAAACGCGCTATCCGAATTCGCTCATTCCTCGAGTCCACGAATTTCGAAATTTTCCATCAAATTAATTCTCTTGGTACCAGCTTCGAACCCTATTTAACTATACCTCAAAGCTGGCGCAATAATCAGCGACTTCCATTATCGGGCTCATCCGATTCACCTTTGAAGCACCATCAGCTGCGAATCTTCAGGGTCACCTTGGAGGAACCTGTCATCACGACCTTCGCGATGGAAGACGATCCTCTTTGCGTCTCCCCACCTCTCCCTCCCTCCCTCTCCCCCTTTCTCGATTACGTTTCTTAAACGAAGAAGCAGAACTAGGCTAGCACGCGGCAATCGAGCCATTATGCGTCCCCATTGTGCATCCGTTTAGGCGAGGCACTGGGTTGCGTTGCCCACGCGTCGTCCCCAAGTCGCGATTGTCGCCTGGTATGACGGTTTCATTGTAGTCGGACATGCGTGTGTTACGGTGGCACCAACCTCGCAATGGATCACCGAG